CAAAATTAGTACAATGTAAATAAAACACTTAAGAAAAAAAAGTGTCTGCACGGGAGGCATCCCTATATATTGTAGCTTAAGTGACTTTGATTTGCACCTGCAGTTGATACTCATGAGGTGCAGGGTGAAAAATCAACCTTGGACAAGACCCACCCACTGAAGTACAACACATGTCCCACCCACCCAAGTCCAGCAGCTGAACACTTGAAAAGAAAGATCTCCAGTTTTCCAGAAGTTCATGAAAATAAATCAAGTACCCAGAAAACTCAACCATCCCATCGGGGAGAACAAAATTCAAACAGGCTGAATGAAATAGCAGCATCAGGCACAAATAAAAATCAGCACAAGAACATACAGATGAATCAAAGCAGAAAAATGGTGTAGTAAGACAGCCACTAATGCTAACATACAGAAGGCAGTCAGAATATAAACAGGCACATACATTTACAAAACGCACAAACAGTAAAGGCAAACCTTTTATAAAGTACATTTAAATACAAAATACAACTGTTCCAGAAAAATAGGAATGGGCACAAAAATGGTCAATGGGACTGGGCCATAAAACAGCACAATGGCTTACAAGGCAAGGAGCATAAATTAAAGATATATAGAAAACATTCAATCATAAAAAGCCAATAAAACTAAAATAGGCTTAGGGAAAATGCAAAGACAAGAGCAGTGATGGTTCAAATGCAAAGGCAAGAGATCAAAATACAAAAGATGGGAAAAATGCACAAATGCAAAAAGTGCCATTGAGACCATGATAAGGACATAAGTGCAGAGACAAAATTTAAGGAGCATTAAGGAATAAAGGGTATTACAAATTTAATCTAACACCACAAGGAAAAAATATGTAAAAAATCACTACAACAGGGCAAAAAAAAGGGACTTAACTGGCAGAAGCATTAAAGGCAAACAGCAGAAATACAAACACTAAAGGGCAATAGGAATGCAAAAGGAAGAATAATCTGAGACGTGCAGCTTTTATGCTTAACAACTTTATTTTGTTCTGTCTTAGAATAGCTTAGACAAGACCATAAAGGGCACAGAACAAAGTTTAAATAGAAGTTAGTAAATAAAATACTGTACAAAAGGAAAAAAAAAAGACAGACTGATTGAAATATAGAGGGCATAAAAAATCCTAAAATGAAAAACCTAAAATGTGCTGAAATACAAAAAACAAGGTTAAACAATACAAAGTAGCAAAAATAAGTCAAGTGGACAAAGCTGATTTAGGATGGGATGTAGAGCCAAAACACAGTCAATAAAATGATAGGGGGGACCTTTGGTGAATGTGCCAGTTACAACTCGATGGACAACCAACTCAGATGGAGCCATTAGAGATGGGGACCTGGGCAGAGACAAGACCACTGCACTGCAGGGCAATAACTGCCCATGGAGGACCTGATAGAGCATCAACCTAACTTTCACTCTGTCGACCTGTTTTTGGCCTCAGATTACCAGCTCCGCCATAAGTCTGGGGCTTGGCACAAAGGTGGACTCAAGGTGTAAAGGGTAAAATGAAGGATGAACCAAAGGGCTGAAAGTAGTCAACAAACACAGGCCGCATTAACTAGATGACACGGGTAGAGGAGGGGGGAGGAGCAGCATCAATGAGAGGCTGAGTGTGAAGGACATCAGACTGGATTGTCTATCCTGTGTTGGCCGGTCCCTCCAGCTGTTTAATGGGAACACAAAATAAACCAAAACAGATTATAAACCTCACAAAAACTTAAAGTAATTTTGAAAATGCAAAAAAGGTTACGATTCACAAATGGGGTGTTCCAAATTACACAATATGGGCACAAGTAAAGTCATAAAAGAGTAGAAGCACGGTTTATGGTCCATATTTGTTTCCATGTTCTATTTAAAGCCTTTTGTTAACCTAAGTAAAAAAAACAAACAAAGAAATTAAAATGAAAACAAAATCAAGTGCAACAAAATACAAAAAAGTAAGTTTACAACTTCAGTACAAAGCTTTACAATATAAGAAAGGAAAACAATAGCATATAAGAAAGGCAAACAAGAACATAAAAAGCAGACAGAAAATGCATTTATGGTATATTTTGGTTTTTATTTTTATTGTTTTTTTATGTTATTTGAGACAAAAGGGTCATAAAATAGAAAGGGATAATAAAAGGACAAAATTGATCTTAAATGGAACAAGAGGCAAAACCATAAATACAAAAATTACATTTAGTACAATATAAATAAAAACAAAAAAACTGAAAAAAGAAATTGTCTTTGTGAGTGGGATACACCCCTATATATTGCAGCTCAAGTAACTTTGATTTGCACCTGCAGTTAATTGATGAGGTGAAGGGTTGAAATCAACCCTGGACAAGTCAGTCTAACACAAGTCAAGATCCACAAGTCCTTTGACGAGTCCCTTGTCTTTACAAGTCCCACCCACCCAATTCCAACAATTGAACACTTAAAAAGAAACTTCATTTTCATTAACTTCTGTTAATGTGGAGAACCAAGTACCCCATGAACCCGATAGCCATACCATCAGGGGAAGAACAAAATTCAAACAGGCTGAATGAAATCGCAGCATAAAATACAAGTGACCACAACAACAGAGATGAACCAAAGCAGAAAATGGGCATGATAAGACTAATGCAAACATACAAAAGACAGTAAGAGAATAACAAGTGCATAATTATGCAAAAAGTACAGACAAACCATTTGACGCAGTTCCTTTCAATACAAAATAGAACAGGGTAAAGCCTTTTTATACCCTGTCCCATTGACTAAGACCAGGAGCATTAATAAAAGATGGAAGACATTAAATCAAAAAAAAAAAAAATAGGCTTAGGGAAAAAAAAAGGGACAGACAAGAAAAAGGAATGAAATTAATACAAAAGATGGGAAAATGCACCGATACAAAAAGTGCCATTGTGACAATAAAAAAAAAAAATCTTAAATACATGAGGTTAAGGCATAAATACAACAGCAGCAGTTTCAGGACTGTGTTTTGTAAAGCTGTACAAGTAATTTGCTTTATACAAGTATAAATAATAAAAGGCATTAATGTAGTGAAGATTTGCAGTGACTGTACATACAAGAATGCCATGTTCCTTCTCAGAAAGCCCACAGTCTCTCTCTGAACAGTAACATTTAAGAAGTTGGAGATATTTAATTTCAGACCATAAAAATGCAAGACCTAAAACTACAATGCATTAAAATGACAGTACAGTTAATGCATATCTTTTTTTTTTTGTTTCAAAACATTTATGTATAGAAGAAAATGATTGCCTGTTGTATTCCCTTACATTTGTCAATGAAATACATTCAATCAACAGCATAAATACAAAACATTAACATTTCTACAAAAGGGAAAAAAGGAGCATGAAGCAAGGGGCACAAAAATAGGGAGTTTTAAAGTTTTAAAAATAAAAATTTTAAAGACAATATAAAAAAAACAAGAAATAATGAACAAATGCCATCATTTGACAATCAAACTTAAATGAGGGATTCGAAGAGGATACTAGGACAAATCAATATAAATGATGAAAAGGAATTCAAAGGCTAAAATTAAGTGGCATAAAGACACTTTTAAACTATTTTGAGAAGCACTATACAACTAAAATTGACTAAAACATAGGACAAGTGCATATTTACAAGTAGTTTAAAGGGAAAGGTAACAGAGGTATGGAAGTATTAAAAGATTTAATAAATGCAAAGAATAGCAAACCAAAAGCACAATATCATCAGTGCAAATAGACCAGAAAAAAAATGGTCATAACACAAAATGAGTATTAAGAAGGGGGAAAGGGGCTTAAAAATGGTACAAGTGTCCAAGCCATAAATACAAAAGCAAATGTTGTCAAATCAATTTCATGACATTAATAAATTCTCTTTTTTTAAAAGTGCTCCAAGCCATAAATACAAAAGCAAATGTTGTCAAATCAATTTCATGGCATTAATAAATTCTCTTTTTTAAAAAGTGCTCCTGTGCTACAGAGACAATAGAAGGCATTATCCACAGAAGTCAAGACCCACACAAGTCAGGATCCACACAAGTGAAACACAAGTCAAGACCCACAAGTCAAAACACAAGTAAAGATCAACAAGTCAAACAAGTCAAGATCCACTCAAGTCAAACACAAGTCAAGACCCACAAGTCAAGATCCACACAAGTCAAAACACAAGTCAAGACCAACACAAGTCAAACAAGTCAAGATGCACACAAGTCAAACCCCATCGGCATAAAATAGTCAATTGGACAGGAACATAGAACAGCATAATTACTAACAATTAAAATAGCATAAATGAAAGATGGAAGACATTAAATCATAAACAAAAAACAACGGGCTTAGAAAAAAAAATGCAAAGACAAGAGAAAGTAATAAAATAAATGCAAACGATAGGAAAATGCACAAATATAAAATTGTAAATTTTGTAAAAGTACATGTAACGGGGTGACAAAATCCAACTTTGTCCCTAACAAAGCGGAACTAATGTTCGCCGTGATTGCCTCCCGCCGGACCCAAAAAAAGGAACACCGGGCTAGTTCCAGGGTAGCGCAAAAATCCCCGAAAATGGGGTGATCAGCCAAACGTCGCTGGCAGCTGTGCATGGGGAGTAAAACTTCGCGATTGGGACACGTTGCAATTACAGGAGTATAAAAGGAGGAAGTACAGACCAAACGGGGTATTGTTTTGGGAGAAGTGTTCTCAGAGAAAGTGTGAGCCGTGGTGAAGAGGAAGTGGGGCCGGCGAACGGGCACGGTGCTGTGAGTTGGGAGAAAGAGCAGGCTGATTCAATAAGGAGGTAACCATGGGACAGAAGATCATTTGTGAGAGATCATGAGTAGTCCAAATCAATTTCCATCCTCCTCTCGTGTCTGTGGGACCTCTTGATGTGAATGCCAGTTCAGAAGAAGGGCAACGGCCATATATATGAATATTTCCCACTGAGTGCTGAATTGTTGAGATGAAGGGATGTGATGCACTGTTTGCTGTGTGAAGCGTGAACCTAAACCCCTGGATGTCCACTTCTTACCGGAGTTTTCCCATCACATTCTGACTGCATAAGAAGAGGCTAACATTGTTGTACTTCACAGACCATTGAGTGTATTTATCTGGCAGTCCACTGTGAAGAGAGACACGTAGTGAACGTTTAACTGACTGCTTTGCAGTGAAACCTCCAGCCGTAAGTTCTCTGTCACTTAAAGAAGAGGATTACGTACCTGTATGCTCACCTGTCTGCTTTGCAGTGAAGCTCCCCCGCTGTAAGCTCTGTGTCTGTTGGCCCTGCAAGTGAATTCAAGTTTGTTTGTATAGTCCTTTCACAATACTTGTTTCAAAGCAGCTTTACAGAAAGTGCATTACAGAAAAGTACATGGAAAATTACATTTAGATAATCATGTAATATTAAGGGCATAACATATCGCCAGCATGGAGTCGTCTTTCCACAGGCGTCGAGTCATCTTTCACAGGTGTTGAGTCGTCTCTTCACAGGCATTTAGTCTTCTCATTGCAGGTGTTGGGACATCTGAAGTCTCCATGAGAGGCTGGATACAAACTGGAGCTGACGAACGCCATTTTTCTCAGGACAAGCGTCCCGAGATAACAGCAGAAAACAGATGGGAAATAATTAGCATAGCTGATGTTCATAATGATTTCCATTACACAGGAGTAGATGTTAAAAACACACTCACAAACTCTCCACAACCCAACCATACGTGCCAACCCGTTTGACTAAGGCTGTCGAGCCCCACTGTCGCGGTAATGCATTTCATTGGCAACAGTTCCGTATGGCATACCACCTACCGCAATAACACAATATCTGCCCAACCACCCATCATTCACGCAATACACACAGGAAAAGTAATGACTGCAAATACTATGCAACCTATACAAGTAACCTACAGACTCTTGAAGTTTTAAAGTATTAAAAGCATTCGATCTGATTCAACAGAGGAATAAAAGGTAAACAGTATGTGAATGCTTGGCTAAAGAGATGCATCTTTAGTCTAGTTTTAAACTTTGACAGCAAGTCAGAGCGTCAAACCATATCGGGAAGGATATTCCAGAGTTTGAGCGTAAAGAATTTAAGTTTGAGCCTAACTTTTATTTCTGGAATATTTACATTAATAAATAACTAATGTTAATTACAAGCAATTGTCTAGCAGTGTCGTTAATAATCCTTAACCCTTGTGCATCCTTGTGGACAATTTTGTCCTTTTCAGTTTTTTTTTTTTTTATCACTTTGCCTGTGTTAAAGCTAACTGCAAAAAACTTGGCACAGGTGTGTATTTTTATTGGAATTTTACTATTTCGCCGTCATTTTCTTAAAAAAATATTTTTTGCATTAGGTACAAAAAAAGTCCCTCTCAGCACCTTTTGGACAAAAATGTCCCCATTGAAACCCATTAAAACTGCCATTTTTAATCCCCGGTTCAGTTAACTATAAAATTATGCAATCTTTGTTAAGAGGCTTTCATTCTGATGGCAAGGCTTCAAAATTTTATTTTTTACTATTTTTTATCAGATGGTGTCATTTTTTTTAAAGTTTGGCCTATAAAACAAATGTCGCTTTATTCCTGTTTTCTGGTTCGGCATACTATAGAGCCAACTGGATAAATTATGCAACGATATTTGTGTGGGTGTGTTGGTATGGATGTCAGAGTGTGGTTAGTATGTGTGTGTTTGTCAGACTGAGAGAGAAAAACTGCTAATTCAAATCCAAACACTGTGAGCTCCAGTGGGGTTTTGCTGGGACCCAATGGGGAAAATATGTTACTACGCCCAAACAAACTGTTACCGAAAGCTCATTTTTTGAGATATCATCCTCAAATTTGGAACACAACCTATTTAGATTTATGGCTTTGATTATATTGTAGTTTTGAGTTCAACCTGATTTAAAACAAATATATATTTTATATAAAATATTATTTTATAAATAATTTTTATAAACTTATACCTATATAACTTTTTTTTTGGATTTACTTATTATTTTTTACTTCAGCAATAATCTGCAAAGGGTCTTCTTTAAAATGATACCAAACTTAAGTCTGTGCTCCAGCATCACATTTTTATGACAGTTTGACATGGACATGTGTCCTCTTTTTACCTATGTGTAACTTTTTTTAATTGATGCACAAGGGTTAAGCAAGAACTGACCACAGAGAAGTCATCTGAACAAATTGTAAATACCATTCGAATGCTTATGATTTAGGGCAGATTTGACTTACTCGACCTAACCTGAGGATGAAAAATAATAATGTTAAAGGTGTTAAAATTAAAGGGCACACACACCGTAAAACATGGCGCCCAACGTGGGGCTTTAACTGTTCAATTCTGGCCAGTAATTGAACAGTTAAGTGCCTTCTAAATAGCATGTGTGTGGATATGCATAAGGATTAAAAATTTATTTTCTTTTTTTGGAAAAAAAAAAAGAAGATACATCACCAAATAGAAGACGACTAGACAAACTTAGTCGAAAAAAAGATACTAATCTAGAAAAGATTATTTAACACCCAAAACGGGTTAGATGTGCACAAAACAAATAAGTTGAAGGGTGATTGAAAGTCTAATAAGTCTATTCCAAAGAGGCTAAGCTATGGCAGCAAAAGCCCAGGCAAAAAATCCAGCATGACTTTTATACAACCATATACATGGGGTGATTCTCGTATATTAGGATTGCAAAAGATAGCCTTACAGGCAGAGACATCAGTCCAAGAGATGGAACCAGGAGAAACATTCCTTTCAAAGGAGCGACTTTGACTTACTAGTCATTAGGTGTGTAACGTCTTGGAGATGTTGTCCGACAGAACAGCCGCTCCGATTCTGCTGAGGTGAAGCATAATAGAGCCTAAGTCTCTCCCAGAACAGATTCCAATTATTTACAAAGAGCAGTTTCTGTTCATTACACAATGACATTAAAGGAGAACTCCGGCGAACAATGAACCTTTGGTCTAATAAAACATCGGTACCTAGTCAATCGTTCTCTGAGTTTTGTTTTCTTGATAATCGAATGTAAAGAGTTTTATCTCTAAAAACTGTTTAGCGTATAATGCTAGTAATGGGGGCATTGACCAAGTAAAAAGAAATCGCTAGTTTATACCACTAACAAGGCTCAAAATAGCCCCACACTAACGCAGTAACATAATGAGGCTCCATACATGCAAAACGAAGCATTAAGAACTTTGTAAGTCACGTATACAGGCAGGAGCCATCTTAAAAAATAGTCTTGATAAGTCGATCCCCGAACGCCGTTCATACAGTTCAGAAGTTCGCTGAACTTCATACAGTTCAGATCACTCAGCACGACGTTCGTGGTTTGACTTATCGAGACTATTTTTTAAGATGGCTCCTGTCTGTATACGCGAAGTGAACTGTCTTCATAAAGTATCTTCTTATTAAACGGTCTGTACACTTACAAAGTTCTCAATGCTTCGTTTTGTATGTATGGAGCCTCATTATGTTACTGCGTTAGTGTGGGGCTATTTTGAGCCTTTTTGGTGGTATAAACCAGCGATTTCTTTTTACTTAGTCAATGCCCCCATTACTAGCATTATACGCTAAACAGTTTTTAGAGATAAAACTCTTTACATTCGATTATCATGAAAAATCTCAGAGAACGGTTGACTATGTACCAATGTTTTATTAGACCAAAGGTTCATTGTTCGCCGGAGTTCTCCTTTGATAATTCAATTAGTGCAAATAATCTACTGAACCTTTCCTGTCCTTGTCTGTAAGAGGGAAGCGGTAAAGACACGATGATCGTTGCGTCAGGCAATGTGTTGCGTACCATCTCGATCAGGCTCCTGTAGTCCTTCAGAACCTCAGCCTGATGTCGTTCGTCGCTCCCACGTTCAGCACAACAGCTCCAACGCGCTCATCACTGTTCAGGATCTCGGGAACCTGTGCAGCAACATCAAGAACATGAGCACCAGGAAAGCAGCGAGTGCGCACCTTATCCTTACCTGAGGTAGCACGGCAATGACGGACCATTGGCGTGCCGATGACCACGGCGTCGTCGCGTTCCGACTCGCAAAGAGGGGAGAAGCGGTTCCGGGACGAGATCTCAAAGACCGGGAGGGGCGGTGGAGAGGTTCTACAAAGAGTAACTAACCACTGACTTGTGAGCATCAGCGTGTAATGTTTCAAGCGCTGACGGCGGATCCAGCAGCTCAGTAGACAGTTTCAATATAATGTTCCACACTAAGCATATCAATTAAGTTTGGACAACAAAGACTGTGATTTGGACTTTGACTTACTATTTATTAGGTGTGTGCAAATAATCTACTGAACCTTTCCTGTCCTTGTCTGTACGTGGGAAGGGGCCCAGGCACCATGATCGTTGCTTCAGGCGATGTGTTGCATACCGTCTCGATCAGGCTCCTGTAGAACTTCTTCAGAACCTCAGCCTGATGTCGTTCGCTCCCACGTGCATTACAGCATCTCCGACAAACTGGAGTTGACGAACGCCATTTTTCTCAGGACAAGCGTCCCGAGATAACAGCAGAAAACAGATGGGAAATAATTAGCATAGCTGATGTCCATAATGATTTCCCTTACACAGGAGTAGATTCCAGAGTTTGAGCATGAAGAATTTAAGTTTGAGCCTAACTTTTATTTCTGGAATATTTACATTAATAAGTAACTAATGCTAATTACAAGTAATCGTCGAACAGTGTTGTTAATAAACCTTAAGCAAGAACTGACCACAGAGAAGTCATCGGAACAATTGTAAATACCAATCGAATGCTAATGATTTAGGGCAGATTTGACTTACTCGAACTAACCTGAGGATAATAAATAATAAGGTTAAAAAGGTGTTAAGATTAAAGCACACACCGTAAAACATGGCGCCCAGCGTGGGGCTTTAACTGTTCAATTCTGGCCAGTAATTGAACAGTTAAGCGCCAGCTAAATAGAGTGTGCGTGGATGTGCTTAAGGATTAGAAATTTATTTTCTTTTTTAAAGATAAATCAATTACAAGACGACTAGTCGGAAAAAAAAATCTAGAAAAGATTATTTAAAGAAGACCCAGAAAGGGTTAGATGTGCAAGGCTAGTTGCTTCAGGCGATGTGTTGCGTACCGTCTCGATCAGGCTCCTGTAGTCCTTCAGAACCTCAGCCTGATGTCGTTCGCTCCCACGTTCAGCACAACAGCTCCGACGCGCTCATCACCGTTCAGGATCTCAGAAACCTGTGCAACAACATCAAGAACATGAGCACCAGGAAAGCAGTGAGTGCACACCTTATCCTTACCTGAGGCAGCACGGACATGACGGACCATTGGCGTGCCGATGACCACGGCGTCGTCGCTTTCCGACTCGCAAAGAGGGGAGAAGCGGTTCTGGGTCGAAATCTCCAAGACCGGGAGGGGCGGCGGAGAGGTTCTAGCTCTGGTCCTTGATTGTGTCTTCCACAGTATGATCCATGGTGTTGTGTCAGTGCCAGAGTGAATGAAGCCAGAGATGATCGCATCCTTCTGGGCAAAGAAACGCATGGATAGATCAGTGTTTCCCAACCCTGTTCCTGGCGGCACACCAACACTGCATGTATTTTTTGTCTCCCTTATCAAACACACCTGATTCAACTCATAAGCTCATA